ATAACACTCTTGTTCTCAACGGCAATCACCGTACCCGTCATAAAAGAGAATCACAGACAGAATCGCATCATCTGCTGTCGAGCAAGAAGCAAACGCAACCTATGGCCAATCAAGTCAGGAGGGAAAGTATGGCATGCTGCGGGAAGTCAGACTTGATACGACTGGGCACTGTGATTGGTCGGACGGAGTACTGGTGTCGATCAGAGCGGGAAATGACAGATGGCAGGAGTAGATGATGAACTAGGGTGAAGAATCACAGATGTTCCGTAAGTTCGATATGACCTCTGGACTGGTAGAGTACGTTTCATGGAGGGTAGGTGTGAGTCTGGAGGACATAGGTCGATGATAAACCCGTGGGCAGTGGCAAAGACAAGACAGATAAATATGGACTTATCAGCGAAGATTTTTGGACCAGGATCTTCATCAGATCATCAAAATGATCATCATCGGTCAATTCAATGTTAACGTTAACGGAGGTTCGATCGCTTTGTCGCTTCCCAGGAAAGTCTAGGAACCTTCGGGTCCGAAATTTGCAGAATCCCACAGAAATAACCGGTCGCGCTCTCGACACAGTTTGCAGTAGCACGACGAAGATTTCTTTTTCAAATTTTTTAAGACTTCATCCTATAATCAAATCCTTGTGAAAACGCCACCTCCTCGGTTGAGGTAGGCTGATATACACACCATGTCAATACACAAAAGAAGTGGTCTATGGGTGTCGCACCAAAAAACAAGTCGTGAGAAACGATTTGCCACGTTGCCGAGTTGGGGTCTGATCAGATTCGGCCCTTGTGGAATAAGAAGCGGACCCTGCCCAGGTCAGTCGAGTCTTCAAACAGTTCCTACAATAGGAGTATGCCAGCTGAGCTCACACAGGCGAGGTTGAAAAGACGCGCGAGTAGGAAGGATTTGGATGAGTATGGAGGACTCAGGTTCGATACAGGGCACGCGAGGGAGTTGGAGCAGAAGAGGATCCGAGGTACGTTCTCGTTCGTCATGATCTTCCACTGTTCTTACTGACGAACATCGTTTAAAAGGCGAAGTAAGTGTGCTTCTAAATGTTTGATTGAATGGGGTTCTGTTCGCTGACCGTGAAAATACATTCGATGACATAGATTAGCTGTGCCGAATGTCGAAGGTGCGATTGATCGCATATGTAATTTACGGTCTAGCCTTATAACTGCCAAGGCTCAAGATAAAGTGCGACAAGCAGATTCCATGTCAATCCTGCCAGGTACGCTCAGGTCCCCCTGTTCTTCCGTCAATACCACAAATACTCATCGTATACGACTACAACTTAGCGTCGCGGATGTGCTGCCCTATGCCCGAATGGTGAGCACTGTAACGTAACTTCGTACTTCCAACATCGAGACACTCTATGGTAGGAAGCCTATCAACAGGCCAAGGCACACGCTTCGTCCTTGCAGCGACAGAACACCTCCACAGGCGTATTGCAACGCTGAGCGCGCGTATCCGGCTCCTCGAAGATGCACTCATGTCTCTACAGGCCTCGCATCCGCTGTTGCACCCGGACCTCGTCACTAGGGATAATGCTGATTTGGAAACGATGGACGAAGAGGGGAATGGGGACCAAGGGGATAAGGAGAAGGGAGGAGGAGGGGATGTGATTGACGCATTTGGGACGTTGAGCATCTCTGACCATGGTATCTCGAGGTTCTTTGGGCCTACGGGTGGCGTTGAGGTTTGTTCTCTTTCTTATTTGCTACTAATCATAGCTAATAATATACTCAACAGAGTCTCCTCATTGTGCGTTCCCACTTCTCCCTCCAGCTCATTTCGAACTAATCCCTCAACTAGTCAAACCTCTCACTCCCGCCAAACCAATCGACACCCACAATTTCTGCCCTCCCTTCCCCGCACCTCCACTCATCCTCACCCTCCTCGTCCTCCTCAGTACCCGTCGACCCCCTGGCGCTCTTTTCATCCTCATTCCCATTCACCCCTCTAGGCTCCCCTGCAGGTGTCCAAGACCTCATCGCATCCCACCTCCCGTCCCGATCTACTGCAGAAGGGCTAGTCCAAACGTACTTAACGCAATGTTCGTGGTTATTTCATGGGGTTACGAAAGCGCAGTTGGATGAGATGGTCCCTGTCATATATGATCGTACTGAGCAGAGAGCAGAGTTGAAAGAGGGGGAAATGGAAGGAGGGAACGGGGATGGGGAGGGAGATTATTCGGGCCCGCATGATATTGCGCTGTTGTTCGTAATTTTTGCTGTGGGTGCACTCGTTAGGCCTTCGGGTTCGAGTATGGGTACGGAGCCCGTTGCCACGAGTAGTTCCGCCAGCCCATCTTCAACTTCACATGCACGCACATACCCTCATTTAACATCCCTCTCTCAATCCCCACCTAACCCTACTTCACCCACGTCCCGCCTCTCCACCTCCGCACATATTACCAGCACAACATCGAACAATGCTTTGGGCGAGCATTTCCACCAGCTCTCGCGCGTCGCTCTCGCTTTACAGCCGATCCTGGAGAAACCTTCGCTAGTGACGATACAGACCCTCCATCTGCTGAGTATATACAATGCGATGAGCGGGAGTGATTTGAGGAGCGAGACAAGTATGGAGATGACGTGGAGTTTGATTACGCTTGCGGGGCATTTGAGTATGACTGTAAGTGCTTAGATCCTTTGTACAGGTTGGGTCTAAAGGTAGCTAATCAAAGGATTTGTAGATCGGACTCCGTGAGTATCTGAACATGGAATCGACTTTCTATCCCCAACGTTATCGTATCCTGTCCTCCCGGCGCCCTTTCCTCTATATTTCATTTATCCTTCGCTTCCCTTTGCCAACATGGCTAACTTTTGTACAGACCGTGACTCCGCACGCTGGGGGCTTACACCGAAGATGGTTCAGCGTCGACGAATACTCTTCTGGGACCTTTTCGTGGCGGATGTATGGCAGGTACGTGTCATATAGTTCCCTTTCCTCTTTCCTCTCCCCTTTCCATTCTCTTCCTTCACTTTTTGACTAAACTGATGTTGTCAATCCAGAGCCTCAATACAGGCCGTCCACCCTCTTTGTCACTCGCATACATCGACTGTAGTTTTCCCGACGGGGCATCAGGCGAGGGAGCTGAAACCGGGTTTGGATCTGCGTGTGTGTTTCTTCCTTCCCGTTCCTTCGCCTACCCAACTAACATGGTTCCTCCCCTGCAATTCAGTTAGTACTTGGCAATGCCGGTTTGCCGCTGAATGCGTTGCAGAAGTCACATCACGAACTCTCACAGCTGAAGCACCAACGTATGCTACGATCATGGAGCTCGATAAGAAAGTGAGAGAGTTCCCGTTGCCGGAGGGGATGGGTTCGGCTGAGGGGAGGATGAAGGCGAAAGGAGGGGATTTGGCGGGGTCATTTCAGAAGTGTGTGTTGGATCATATCAGAGAAACTGGTCCGTTTTCCTTTCTTGTTTCGACCCTTTGAACACCTATCTCATGCTTCTTACAGTTTTGATGTACATCCACCGATCTTTCTTTGCACAAGCAATCATCGAACACCCCGCCAACCCGCTCAAGAGTGCATACGCGCCGAGCTTCTTGGCTGCGTACCGTGCAGCATCTACAATTCTTAAGAGCGTACGTGAGCAGTTTGGCATATGGCCCAATTCGTGTGCGAGGTTCTGGACTATGTGGACGTTTGCGTTTTCAGCTGCGGTGCGTCTGCTTTCTTCGTCTTTCCATTTGGTTTGAGCCGATGTATAACGTGCAGGTGGTGTTCGGGACGGTGGTGACGCGTGGTCCGAAGTCGCCGTTAGCACAGTCGGCGATGGGGGAGCTCGAGCAGGCGTGTATATTGTTCTCCAAGGCGAGCGTATACAGCATCCGTGCTACCAAGGCTCTGGTACGCCCTCGTTTACAATCTTGCTCGACTCTTGAGCTGGTTTCCTAATTGTCGTTTCCAGCCTATACTCACGAGGCTCGCGGAGAAAGCCCGACTTGCACTATCTGTCACACAGAAAGACTCCGATTCGCTATCTGATACCGCAGCTGGACTGTTGTGGAACATCCAGGTGAAACAGGAACGAGACGAGGACGATGAGCTCGCAATATTCGCGGGACATACGCGATTCGTGTCTGCGAGAAAGCCTGCTGCGGATCCGTCATCCCGCCTCCAGCAGCAGGAGCAGCAACAACAGAACTCGTATTCTTCGTATCCGTTGCAACCGGTGAATGGTTGGCCGGGACAGTTGGAGGATATGAATGTTTCGCATGCAGAGCATCCTGCCATGTCGAGACAACTTCCGCCGCTGCCGCTGCATTATCCGTATGCACCTTCTGAGAGGAGTACGCGTGACCTCGAATTCGAAATATATGGATCCGTGCCCAGTGAATGGGAGGGACCTTCGGCATCGATTCAGCAGCAGCAGTCAGTGCAACCTCAACGAGTCAGCCCATCCCAATTTTATTCCCCACCAGCTTTACAGCTGTCCCCTCCTTCTCGTGCCTCACCACCACCCACGCACCATCAGCAGCAGACGTACCCCGTGCAGGTGCATCCACATGCTCATGTCCAGGAGTATCATGGTCATAGTCATTTTCATCAGACGTACCTGCAGCATCCACACCAGCAACAACAGCATCAGAGACGGTATCCTCAGCAGGTGTTCGCGGGTAACACGGAGCTTGCGGATCTCGGACTCGCAGCGCGTGATTCGAGGCTCGACGAGCGATGGAGTTCGTTTATGCATGAGTCGGGGATCTTGGAAGATATCAATCTTCAGAGACGGTAGATACAGGTTTGCTTTGCCATTCGATTTTACGGAAATCATCCGTCTGTCTCCTGGTTCAATACCACCTTAGTAAATTTCAACAGTATATGTATCTTTTATCTTTATAATTGTCATACATTGTCTATGTACATGGATATGACAATGCATCAAAAGGTGGGTGGTGAATTTGGCAAGAAATCGGCTCCAAATATACTTACTAGAGACAGGGGATACGAGTTAGGGGGAAAACGGGCCAAAAGCAAATTTCCGGTACGGGGAATCGAACCCCGAGCTGCCGCGAAATAGGTTGAAAGGCGGCAATGTTAGCCATTACACCATACCGGACACAATGGGTGTAAACAAGCGCCCATTCGATCGTGAATTGCGCTTGACACTAATTTGCAAGTATCACGGGCAGGATTCAAGGAACTCTTCTTCCAGTGGTCGAGGTTCTCGTCGATATGGCTGTTGCGGGAAGGAGGGTTTTGAGATACCGGAAACAATGAATGGCGTCCAACTCTCTGTCGGTCGTGAATGATACCGCCAATCAGATTTACAGTTACAAGTGAGTGTAGAGAGTCGGCACTGAAAGGACTTGAAACGCTGGAGCGGCGTTCACCCGCTCAAAAATAAGTCCTGCAGCATTTCTTGAAATGACCGAGACAGGGGTCGAACCTGCAGTCTCCTGATCCGCCGTTCGTAGTCAGACGCGATGCCATTTCGCCACACGGCCATTGCAAGACCTTTTGGAGAGGCATATGTGATGGGTAGCACGGCAAACAGGCAAGATGTGTGAGTTGGATGGATATTATGCTCATTGCGCGAGTAGTTGTACCTTGACCCGGTCGTCAACGCGAAGCATTTGGCTTAGCGAGGTCGTTTACCGGCCCGGCTGCTGTAGCTGGAGAAGTTGTAAGTATGGGTACATACGAGTACTCGAATTCGAAAGCCTGCCCATGAAATATTCGTCCGGTGACATGTGTGACATTCGGTGATCGGGGACTGAGGTGTCACATGTCACGGGTTACATCACCCTTCGGTCTTTCCAAGTACTTAAACTCGCAACTCCTTTCATATCCCTCTTGATTCTCATCTCTTTATCATGCCTCTTGATATTCCCTCTGTCTCCACTTTGCCGGATGTTGCTAAGGTACGTGAAATCGTCAAGGGTGGTAACCCATCAGATTGGGACACCGTCTGGTGAGTACCATGTCACATTCGGGTATTAAAAGTGAAAGATCCTGGCGAAAGGCAAGCCAACATCACTCCGTGGGATGCGGGCGAATTCCAGCCCCCTCTGCGCGAGGTCATTGAATCCGGGGACATTGATTTTCCCCGGCAGGGTCGTGCTTTGGTCCCCGGTTGTGGCTCAGTGAGTGTCTCACTCTGCATTGTTCTTGAATAACATCTCTTTAGGGATATGACGTATCCTACCTTGCATCCGCGTTAAGCTTGGACACGCTTGGAATGGACGTCTCTGAGACTGCGATCACCAAGGCAAAAAGGTCTTCGACTGTCCTCTTCAATGTTCGATCGGTTCCACTAACTGCTGATAATCCCAGCCTCATGAATTCAGTTGATAATCCTGCTACCGGAAAGGTCTCATTTGCCCTGGGAGACTTCTTCCACTACATTCCGGAGGAGAAGTTCGACTTGATCTACGACTATACGTATGTCTCTTCCCATCATTCTTGCTATTGGGATACCGGAATCTTCATTTATCAGTTTCTTTGTCGCCATTCCGCCTACGAGGCGTATTGAATGGGCCCAGAAGATGTCTTCTCTCATCAAATCTGGAGGCTACCTTATCACACTCGTTTTCCCGATCGATCCGCCGACAGACCTGGGCCCACCTTTCTTTGTACGCGTCGAACATTACGAGGAAGTGCTTGGCGGTGCATTCAATAAAGTCATGGAGAAAGTTCCGACGACATCTTTACCCAACCATGTTGGCAAGGAGAGGATTGTTGTATGGAAGCGCATCTAGAGATCTCGAATTCCTCCAAGACAGTAGTAGGAATCAAGTATATGGGGTACTACCTGTCCATTCAAGTTCAAGTTGATTGACTTCTTCCTCCATTGAGCCTAAGGAAATAGCGGCTGTTACCGAAAACCTCCACCACCGGAACAGGGTCGCTGATAAGATCGCCTCTTAACAATCGTCTGCTTCGGCGTCATCGGCGAGATACTAAGAGGGTTCTATTAAACAGTCGTAATTCTATCCAAAAACCCGGCTTCACATCAAGATTATTTGTATCGAAATTCGTAGGCTCCCGGCTTCACATGAAGATCATTTGTATCGAAATTCGTAGGCTCCATCTCAAGACTAGTATCAACTAAGAGCCGGCCTATCTTCACAAGATCTTCTAGTGAATGAATAAAATTCGAAAAGGTTTAATTAATAGAGGATGCGATATCATAGGACGTACTCTAAATCAGTCCTAGGTACGCAGAACGAGGATTCGAAAATGCGCTTTTCAAGCCAACAAATTGATGGTCACCGCTATTTTCGTGTAAGTACTGAACTAGAAGGATGTCCAATTGCTCAAGGTGCGGAACTCTTCTTTGTGGCTATCCAGAATCACTTCCTATAAGAGCAAGGAGGTAAGAGAGAAAGACCGGATTAAAATGATTAGTTCAGCTGTTCATCAACGACACTACAATGTCATCATGACAAGACTACAATAAAATCGAAACTACCAACCAGAATCTTGTTGCGGGAAAGAAAGTTCGTTGAGAATGCCCCCGAGATGCCAAAGCAATGAATAACAATTGTCCTGAGATGGGAAGTTAATTTATACTTAGATACGACAAACTTTATCCGTTGACACTTTATATATCTCCAGTACGATGCGTTGATATGAACACGATAATTTTCAACATTACAACACACTCCAGTGACGTCTTTAAGTAAACGCAGCGATAGCAGGGGCAAATGCAGCATCGACGCCGGCCTGGAATTCCTCTGCTGCCGGAGCAATGTTCGACTGTTCGACATCAATCTTCCGCGCTAAAAGACTCAGCGAAGGACGCACCGAGACACATCCAATGAGCGCAGCACCCATAGCGTCACTGGATGCTTTCAGAGTCACTAAGTCCTGTGAGAAGATGGAAGTAACGCCTAGGGCATCAAAGCCTGGCTTGGTTGCGATGAAATCCATTAGGGCTGATTGGATATTAGGACCAAGAGCTTCAAGTAGAGTGAGAATATCCGAGGCATCGCCATCAGGGAATGGACAACTGGCATTCTTGCGGCGGATAACAATTAGACTATGGAGGGAAAGATTATAAGGAATAATTATTCACATTAATGTCATCTGTAGTAGCGACAACGGCGTCATTGAGATTGGTGTTTACGGTGTGGATGGCCTATGTCAAAGACAGGCACTCATTTATATATGGCCATATGCAACGTGGAGAAGTAACGCATACCATAGCCTGATCGAGTGTGCCACCGCTGGTGGAGAAAGTTTCCAGCGCAGCAATATCCGTGGACAGCAAAGGCATGATATTATCAGTGATGTCGCTCTCAACCTGAGTAGAGGTGGTCTGAGCGAACGAGGAAACGGTAAGGGAAACAAGGACGAAGAGGCTCTTGAGTTCCATAGTGAAAAGATCTGAAACAATGTTCGTGATGATCCACAAGGAAAATACCACGCCTATTTTATATGAGTGGTTAGAAGGAAGTTTTAATGACTATGGGATCATTGCGTGATGGACGAAGACAAAGAACATTCAACGCTGTAGTGGCTCACGATTTCCTGCTCCGGACTCGGACACGAGTATTTCACCTTCTTTGAGCATCTGTCTTGTGCTGGAACTCTTCTTGAGACAGCTGCGCGTTGCGGCAAAAGCAAGAGAGCGTGTGAGTGACGACCTCGCTTTTCTGTATCTTTCAATCGCAAAAATTACTCGACATGTCTCTTTACCAACCTACTCCACGGTGATTCTTCGCGATGAAGGAGGGGTCGCCTGAAACGAAAAAAAAAAACCAGGAATTGTCGAACAGTTTGAGTCACGACTGAGAGTAATCTGTCGAAAATAGGTTTCATTGTGAAGGGTTTGGCGGTTCTGCACGATGGCCGTGTAATATCATGGGAACTTAGAATGATGGCGACGAGATGGAAAGAAACAAGACTGATATCGAACCAGGGAATTAGACGCTCTCGATGATGATGTACTCATGGGAATGGGAGCCTTACATGTGCCTTTGAAAGTGAGAATTAAAGCTGACAATGTATGAATTCAGTAGACCGGGGTACGATGGGACTTACATTGCACTTGTGGACCATTGTCAAGGTTTAGCTCGTGTTTCTCAATGCTATGCGTTTGAAGGAATTAAAGATGTTGAATCGAGCTGGTGAAAACAACATTAATACTATCGGGGGACAGATTAGTCCAATGATGATGTAAAAAGAAGACCTTTCCTGTGAGTGTCCTGTATGTCACAAGAAATTGATGTTTGATGTTAGGTTGCCAAGCAAAGTGCGGTGGGCAAGACCTCCTCGAACATGACGTCAAGGGACCTCAAGAACCTCCCTGTCGAACGCTCCAGAAGCCTGTAGTCCCACGCCTGGCCAGGGAATGTCCAATCAACATACACTTGACCGGGTTCAGATTGCTTCTGTCATCATCCTTCAGTACTTCTGCATCAGTGCTGCATATGCAACAGACCTGAACACTCCGACGAAGGGGCAATACGTTTGGTTTGCAACAGGTTCTTATATGGTGTCTTGTCGTGGCGTGTACTCAGTGGGAGTATATCGCTGTTCAGGGATTATTGGTGATGGTTGAGACGTGGGCTTCCAATTCGTCGAATACTTGCTCGCTACCCTTCAACTGACATCTCCTCGGGCTTTACTGGTCAATTGCTTGCGGGACGGCTCTTCCTCTCCGGGAAACTCTTTTACGATCTGATGACTGCGCGCCAATAGTTCGGCCACTGAAAAACACAGACTCGATGACAAATGTAGAAAAAAGCAAATGGTGAAGTGAATGTAGTGTAGACGAGAGCAGGTGAGCATCGGAAGTCAATATTCGCTGACACCAGATGAAACGAGCAGGACGCCAAGCCGTTTCAACTTTAGGACAGTGACGAGCGAAATGACCTAGTATGGAAGCGACGGAGGGTAGGGTGTTGATGCTCAAGGCCTGAGGTCAGACCAAGCCCCGATAGTAAAAATCGTCGCCCAACCCTTCGGTGCCCTTGTTGCCTTCTGAATCAATAGCCCACAACGTACATCTACAGATGGAACAATAATCATCTGCAATGAAGATCAGAGATGCTCGAAGTGATATAGACAGGAGACAGAGTACACAGCACGGTGCTAAGTCGAAGAGCCTGG